CCAGTCCGGACACTTTCCCCCCCCTTCCAGTCCGGACACTTTCCCCCCCCTTCCAGTCCGGACACTTTCCCCCCCCTTCCAGTCCGGACACTTTCCCCCCCCTTCCAGTCGGACACTTTCCCCCCCCTTCCAGTCCGGACACTTCCCCCCCCCCCCTTCCAGTCCGGACACTTTCCCATCCCCCCCCCCTTCTAGTCCGGACACTTTCCCCCCCCTTCTAGTCCGGACACTTTCCCCCCCCCCCTTCTAGTCCGGACACTTTCCCCCCCCCCCCTCCAGTCCGGACACTTTCCCCCCCCCCCCTTCCAGTCCGGACACTTCCCCCCCCCCCCTTCCAGTCCGCACACTTTCCCCCCCCCCCTTCCAGTCCGCACACTTTCCCCCCCTTCCAGTCCGCACACTTCCCCCCCCCCCCTTCCAGTCCGCACACTTCCCCCCCCCCCCCTTCCAGTCCGCACACTTCCCCCCCCCCCCCCCCCCTTCCAGTCCGCACACTTCCCCCCCCCTTCCAGTCCGGACACTTTCCCCCCCCCCTTCCAGTCCGGACACTTTCCCCCCCCTTCCAGTCCGCACACTTTCCCCCCCTTCCAGTCCGCACACTTCCCCCCCCCCCCTTCCAGTCCGGACACTCCCCCCCTTCCAGTCCGGACACTCCCCCCCTTCCAGTCCGGACACTCACCGTCCCCCCCCCCCCCCCCCCCCCCCAGTCCGGACACTTTCCCCCCCCCTTCCAGTCCGGACACTTTCCCCCCCCCTTCCAGTCCGGACACTTTCCCCCCCCTTCCAGTCCGGACACTTTCCCCCCCCCCCTTCCAGTCCGGACACTTTCCCCCCCCCCCTTCCAGTCCGGACACTTTCCCCCCCCCCTTCCAGTCCGCACACTTTTCCCCCCCTTCCAGTCTGCACACTTTTCCCCCCCTTCCAGTCTGCACACTTTTCCCCCCCTTCCAGTCTGCACACTTTTCCCCCCCTTCCAGTCCGCACCACTTTCACCCCCCCCCTTCCAGTCCGGACACTTTCCCCCCCTTCCAGTCCGGACACTTCCCCCCCCCCCCCCCTTCCAGTCCGCACACTTTCCCCCCCTTCCAGTCCGGACACTCCCCCCCCCCCCCCTTCCAGTCCGGACACTCCCCCCCCCCCCCCCTTCCAGTCCGCACACTTTCCCCCCCCCTTCCAGTCCGCACACTTTCCCCCCCCTTCCAGTCCGCACACTTTCACCCCCCCCCCTTCCAGTCCGCACACTTTCCCCCCCTTCCAGTCCGGACACTTTCCCCCGCTTCCAGTCCGGACACTTTCCCCCGCTTCCAGTCCGGACACTTTCCCCCCCTTCCAGTCCGCACACTTTCCCCTGCCTTCCAGTCCGCACACTTTCACCCCCCTTCCAGTCCGGACACTTTCCCCCCCTTCCAGTCCGGACACTTTCCCCCCCTTCCAGTCTGCACACTTTCCCCTGCCTTCCAGTCCGCACACTTTCACCCCCCTTCCAGTCCGGACACTTTCTCCCCCTTTTTTACAGTTCTGTAGCGGGGCCCTTTGACATGTTCTGCAGCGGGGCCCCTTCCTGCCATTTTGGCTCCCCCCCCCACCATGGCAGAATGCTAGGGCCCAATTGCAGGTGCAATCTTTGCCACCCTGGTAGTTCCACCACTGCCAATAATGTGGAGCCATCCTCCCATCACACCTAAATGAGCTTTTCAAAATTATGGCCAGTAATGGGGCAACTCCACATGTCCATGGTTTCCAATCTTCCAGGGGAGACGTCTAACTGCTACTTTTTTTTTTTTTTTTATGGTTGAATTGGATGGACTTTTGTCTTTTTTCAGCCAGACTAACTATGTATGTATTATATTAATAAAACAGTGAAGTACAAGCAGTAACCCGTAATAACCAATTAATCATTCTGACTGTACCAGCATGCTAATATCTGATTGGATGCCTTGACCAGGGGCAGATTGAGCATTTGGAAACTCGGGCACTGCCTGAGGGCCCGGGGTCAGTAGGGGGCCCCATGAGATGCCCCTGGTACCTTTTTCATAGGCTTTTTTGAGTTTGGGCAAGGACACAGGGGCCCTATGATCCCCTATTGCCCGGGGGCCCCATGAGTTGGCAGCCCGCCCCTGGCCTTGACTATACAGCAAAAGTTTGACTATCACACTTATGTGTCATTGTTGGACATCCCATTCCAAAACCATGGCCGCCAATATGGAGTCACCCTCTTTTGTGTCTATAACAGCTTCCACACTTCTGGGGAGACTATCCACAAGATTTTGGAGGGTGTCTGTAGAAATGTGTCCCCATTTGTGAGGTCAGATATTCATGTTGTCTGGTTTAGGCTGGAGAACGCACTGGACTGACTGGATTGGTCACTAGTCATAGGTAGGTGGTTGTGTGGGCAATGAGGAATTAGTCAGTTTCAACGGGTTGTTCTCGGTGGTGGTGCACCCTCTTGGGGGCTTGGACTGCTACCTTTCTGGTATGGCCATGTGGTCAATTCAGCAAGAAGACTTGATCGGGGACATTAGGTGCCCCACCCAGGTACTGATGTCGGAAAAGAAGACCTGGCTCACCATCAGTATTCCAGTTCTTCCCAAAGGTGTTGAGTAGGGTTGAGGTCAGGACTATGTGTAGGACATTCATATTTCCTCCACACTAAATAGGTCAAACCATGTCTTCATCTAGCGGGCTCCACTCCTCATATAAAGTTGTTTTTTTTTTTTTTTTTTTTTTTTTTTTTTGTGGGCATAACATCCCCCACTCTTCTAATAAGACCCTCCACAAGATGTGTCTGTGGAAATGTGTCCCCATGTGTGTGGTCAAGTACTGATGTTGGATGAAGAGACCTGGCTTGTTGAGGTCAAGGCTCCATGCAGGACACTCCAGTTCCTCGCCAGACTGGTCAAGCCATGTCATTATGGAGCTGGCTTTGTACACAGGGCACAGTCATGCTTGAACCGAAAAGTGTTTTCTCTAAACTGTCACCACAAGGTTGGAAGAGAACAGTTGAAGAACCCTTCACTGGAGACACGGGAACCCCTTCATAGTCATTTCGCTGTAGTTCCTGCATTATTATGACGAGTGCTGTATTTATGTACATTGTCTGTGGCTGAACTTCTGGTGTATTTCTCGCCCTCTAGGAACGGATCCAAGATAGTCCCTCCCCCGCTCCCTCCATAGAAGACCCCCAGCGACCTGGAAGTCATGCATCGTCCCATCAAAGCAGCAGCATATCCAGCTCACCTTCACAACTAGACAACATTGCAGACCGTGTCAGTAAGTATCCTTTTTTTTTTTTACAAGTTGCTGTAACTGTGGCGGGACTGCAGAGAATTTTTGTGAAATGTGGCTTCAGTCTTTCATACATGTTGTGAAAACGTTTCAAAGAGGATAACCGTTATGTAGTACTTCATATAGTAAAAAAATAGGCTATGACCAGGGGCGGGACTGACCATTCCAGCACTCGGGCACTGCCCGGGGTCAGTAGGGGGCCCCATAAAATGCCCCTGGTACCTTTTTTATAGGCTTTTTTGGGTGTGTTTTGAGTGTGGACAAGGACACAGGGGCCCCATGATTCCCAATTGCCCGGGGGCCCCATGAGTTGGCAGTCCGCCCCTGGCTATGACCATTTCTCAAAGGTTTACTCCTGTCTGAGTTGAAATGAAGCCTTGAGACACATGTAGGAAGCAGAGCCTACAGCTCGGGGTTTTAGTAGATGTAGTACACCCATCCACCTCACCAGGGGCGACTGACCATTTGGAAGACCCGGGGTCAGTAGGGGCCCCATGAGATGCCCCTGGTACCTTTTTTATAGGCTTTTTTGAGTTTGGGCAAGGACACGGGCCCCATGATCCCCTATTGCCTGGGGGCCCCATGAGTTGTCAGTACACCCCTGCACCCCACTGCCTTTTGTCTGGAATCTGGGAACCCAATTTGCTTAACTGCTTGTACTGGAAGATGATTCCCAAACACACCCTCTGCAGCCAGGGCTGTTGCTGTAGAGCAGGCATCTTTGAATTACAGTTCCCAGGCCACATCCGGCCCACAGCAAGACTTTATCCAGCCTACAGCTAGGATCAATGGAGTATTTTTTGGGTGCCCTCCTTTCTGAAGGCTGCCCATCACTGCTCAGTGCTGCTGTGTTCAAATACCCATTGTTACAAAACAGAGAGAACCAGACACCCCCTTGGGACTTTGCAGGCAGAAAGAATTATCTAAAAAAAAAATATCTTTCTTTATTGCAAGTGTGATGGGAGTGACTTTTGGGGGTGGGGAGACCCCTGTCTCAGCTCCATAAATTACTCATATGTGTAAGCCACCCTGTGTCTGTTAGGGGTACAGGGTGGGAATGTCCTAGTATTGTGTATTGGTGTGGGAGTTGTCCATTGTTCACTGCCATGTGCTGCATCCCATTGTTCTATTGTGTGTCTTGGTTTGGTGGGGGGTGTTTCCAGCAGCCCTTCCCTCTGATGGGATGGCCTGCTGATGTGTTTCCTGTTCCTGGTTGTATTTCCCCGCCCTGTATATATCTTGTGTTTTGTTAAAATAAAGCAGTTCACTTCCTGTCTTAAGAAGTCTGGTGCTGTCTATTTCCTGTATGGTCAGTGGTGGGGTCCGGGGATCTGTGTTCAGACAGGGAAGCGGGAGTCTAACGGAAATACCCCAGTGCAGACTGCGTCCAGTTCCGTTACAGCAAGTATATCAAATATATCAATAAAACAGATCAACAGGTCAGATAAAAACATACAACCTTTGCATAATACAAAACTGTATAGGAGAAAAGACCCCCCTAAATGGGACTTTAAAGGCATCACCAATATAGGTACAAATTACATCAATCTTTATTGAACATAGATAAATATTCGCCATAAAACATTCAACAGGCAGAGATATACAAATGAATACAGTAATACCGTACAAAGTTGTGTCGACATAACAGAGTTCCTAAATAGCATCCGATGCGTTTCAGCTTAAGTCTCCTCCTTCAGGGTCCAGTCCAGTGGAGGGATTGGCAGAGAGGGGTGGAGGACACTGAATGGTGGCCAGTGGAGGGATTGGCAGAGAGGGGTGGAGGACACTGAATGGAGGCCAGTGGAGGGATTGGCAGACAGGGCTGGAGGACACTGAATGGAGGCCAGTGGAGGGATTGGCAGACAGGGCTGGAGGACACTGAATGGAGGCCAGTGGAGGGATTGGCAGAGAGGGGTGGAAAACACTGAGTGGAGGCCAGTGGAGGGATTGGCAGAGAGGGGTGGAGGACACTGAATGGAAGCCAGTGGAGGGATTGGCAGAGAGTGGTGGAGGACACTGAATGGAAGCCAGTGGAGGGATTGGCAGAGAGTGGTGGAGGACACTGAATGGAAGCCAGTGGAGGGATTGGCAGAGAGGGTTTATGTATCCTCCCCAGACCGCATCCAGACAAGAAGTTAGTTAGTCTGGCTGAAAAAAAGAAAAAAGTCTATCCAGTTCAACAATAAAAAAAAGGTTATAGTCCTACACCAAACGCGTTTCAGAGTAAATATACTCCTTCTTCAGGGTCCAGACTCTGTGCATGAGATGTACGGCCTCTAAAGAAGTGTATTATGATGGAGACCAAACAGAAAATATCAATAATCGAGTTTTCAGCCATATTCAAAACAATTGGCGCATAGCCAGGTTTATGTATCCTCCCCAGACCGCATCCAGACAAGAAGTTAGTTAGTCTGGCTGAAAAAAGGCAAAAGTCCATCCAGTTCAACCATTAAAAAAAAAAAAAAAAGTTATAATCCTACACCCACAGTTGATCCAGAGGAAGGCAAAAAAAAACCCAGCAAAGCACGATCCAATTTGCTCCTGCAGGGAAAAAATTCCTTCCTGATCCCCCGAGAGGCAATTGGATATTCCCTGGATCACCTTTACCTATAAATGTTATATCCAGTTATATTCTGTGTATCCAAGAAAGAATCCAGGACTTTCCTACAGCAATCCACTGAGCTGGCCACAACCAACTCTGGAGGGAGTCTATTCCACATTCTCACAGCTCTTACTGTGAAGAAACCTTTCCGTGTTTGGAGATTATATTTCTTTTTCTCCAGATGTAAAGAGCGCCCCCTTGTCCTCTGTGATGACCTCAGGGGGAATAACTACACCGAGTTCACTATATGAACCACCGATGTATTATACATGGAGATCATATCCCCCCTTATGTATTATACATGAAGATCATATCCCCCCTTATGTATTATACATGGAGATCATATCCCCCCCTTATGTATTATACATGGAGATCATATCCCCCCCTTATGTATTATACATGGAGATCATATCCCCCCCCCTTATGTATTATACATGGAGATCATATCCCCCCTTATGTATTCTACATGGAGATCATATCCCCCCTTATGTATTATACATGGAGATCATATCCCCCCTTATGTATTATACATGGAGATCATATCCCCCCTTATGTATTATACATGGAGATCATATCCCCCCTTATGTATTATACATGGAGATCATATCCCCCCTTATGTATTATACATGGAGATCATATCCCCCCTTATGTATTATACATGGAGGTCATATCCCCCCTTATGTATTATACATGGTGATCATATCCCCCCTTATGTATTCTACATGGAGATCATATCACCCCTTATGTATTATACATGGAGATCATATCCCCCTTATGTATTATACATGGTGATCATATCCCCCTTATGTATTATACATGGAGATCATATCCCCCCTTATGTATTATACATGGAGATCATATCCCCCCTTATGTATTATACATGGAGATCATATCCCCCCTTGTGTATTATACATGGAGATCATATCCCCCCTTATGTATTATACATGGAGATCATATCCCCCCTTATGTATTATACATGGAGATCATATCCCCCCTTATGTATTATACATGGAGACCGTACCCCCCTTATGTAATACATGTATCAGTTTGGTTGCCCTTCTCTGTACTTTCTCCAGTTCCCCAATGTTCTTTTTGTGAATTGGTGCCCAAGCACCAACTGGGCCCCCCAAGAGAGCACTGAGGCCTCACGATAGCCACAGAGGCGAGCGTTGCTGAAGCAGAAGCAGTTTCCATTATAGCCACTATTCTCAAAAGGTTGGTGGAAAAACACATCTCCATACACTGTGAGATCCTCCAGTGTTGTAATCCACAGCTCAGCCAGAAAACCCTAACCTGGAGAACGAGCAGCAAGACCGGAACGGGTTATGTCAGACTTGTCACCCGAGTGCGGTCTGGGGAGGAGGATACATAAATCTGGCTATACACCAATTGTTCTGAATATGGCTGAAAACTCAACTGTTGATATTTTCTGTTTGGGCTCCATCATAATACACTTCTTTAGAGGCCGTACGTCTCATGCACAGAGTCTGGACCCTGAAGAAGGAGGAGACTTCCTCTGAAACGCGTCGGATGCTATTTAGGAACTCTGTTATGTCGACACAACTTTGTACGGTATTACTGTATTCATTTGTATATCTCCGCCTGTTGAATGTTCATCTATGTTCAATAAAGATTGATGAAATTTGTACTTATTTTGGTGATTCCTTTGAAGTCCCATTTAGGGGGGTCATTTCTCCTGTATAATTTTGCACTTTAGGGATGTTGGCATGCCGTGGATAAGGGGGTACCAGCAGTCCTCCTGTACGGGGCCCAGGCCAGCAGGGGGGACCAGGCAGCTGGGTGAATTGTATGTGGGCAGCGAGATTGATCGGCATGGCGCGTGGGGGGGGGGGGGGGGGGGGGCAGTTACTGGAACCGATCCCCTGTATGGCTCTCTGCAGCAGCTGAAAGATGGCTTCTTCTCCTCTCCTTCCCTGGCTTCCAGCTGCTGCAGGGAGAGCCATACAGGGAAACAGTTCCAGTAATTGCCCCCCAACCCCCGATACAGCTATCACCCACCCAATACATACATTTCCCTCTGCTGCCCCCACCCCTGTAATGTTGCCGGCTTCCATCCTCTCCTTCCCTGGCTTCCAGCTGCTGCAGAGAGAGCCATACAGGGGATCCTTTCCAGTAATTACCCCCCCCCCCCTCCGATGCAGCTATCACCCACCCAATACATTTATTTCCCTCTGCTGCCCCCACTCCTGTAATGTTGCCAACTTCCCTCCTCTCCTTGCCACCGGCAGCTGCAGGCATACAATAGGACCCTTCAGGATGGAGAGCGGGGGAAGGAGATCTGGTAAATATGTCACATTTACCAGCACCTTCCTTTCCTGAATGAACACAATGAGCGATTGGTACCAAGCAATCACTGTGTTCATTCATAATTGCAGCCTACTAAACTGTGTTTTTTGTGGGAATTTAGGGGAAGGGGTGGTTCAGGTTGGCTGTATGGTGCCCCATGGTTTGGAGGGTCCTGTCAGGTTGGGTGTATGGGGCCTCATGGTTTGGAGGTTCCTGTCAGGTTGTGCTGTATGGGGCCCCATGGTTTGGAGGGTCCTGTTAGGTTGGCTGTATGGGGCCCCATGGTTTGGAGGGCCCTGTCGGGTTGGCTGTATGGAGCTCCGTGGTTTGGAGGGCCCTGTCGGGTTGCTTGTATGGGGCCCCGTGGTTTGGAGGGCCCTGTCAGGTTGGCTGTATGGGTCCCCCATGGTTTGGAGGGCCCTGTCAGGTTGGCTGTATGGGTCCCCCATGGTTTGGAGGGCCCTGTCAGGTTGGGTGTATGGGGCCCCACGGTTTGGAGGGCCCTGTTGGGTTGGTTGTATGGGGCCCCGTGGTTTGGAGGGCCCTGTCAGGTTGGCTGTATGGGGCCCCGTGGTTTCTACCAGCAGCCCTGAGTGTACCCTGTAACATGAACACACACCAGGCGATAAAGAATCAGTTGTCTGAAATGAATGAATCAATTTGAGAATATTCTTCCAAAGATCGCTAACATTTCGGAAAATAATTCCTTCATCAGGGTGAAAACTTAGGCGCACCAATCCTATAATGTGATGTACAGGAACTAGTCACATGATGCTGCATGTATAAGTAATACAAGGGCTGGATATCCAACGTCCAAAGGTTCCACGGGGAAGCCATCCCCCATGAGGAACCATCAGCCCACCACAAGGATCCCAGGGCTCCCCGCCATATGCATGCAAAGAGGTCTACAAGGAAATGCAGATGTTATACTGGATGCCCTCAATGGAGAGGGAGCCAATATTTCCACAAGTAAATGGAATTAGTATTGATTTGGAAAAGACTGAAGTAGTTCCAGTAGTAGATAATTATCGCACTGCATGAGGCCCGGAAGGCGGTATGGGGGGGGGCTTGGGGGGGGGTCGAAAAATTAGACAAAAGAACTTACCGAGTACACATGGAGCTTAAGTAATCGATGGCAGCAGTAAGGGGATATGAGTGCTGACCCCATTAAATAGGAGCCCACCTTTTGTCACCGGCCAATCATGTGGTGGGAGGTAATGACGCCGCGTACAGCCGCCAATGTTTTGTAAAATACACAATGTGGCCCTCTTGCTGAAGGCTTCCCGCCACTGCTTAGTGCTGCTGCGTTCAAATACCCGTTATGGTCATCATACCCCATATGGAAGAAAAATATGTTTGAAATATGTTTTAAAAATATTCTTCCCAAATATATCTCTGCCAATCCCTCCACTGGTCTCCATTCAGTGTCCTCCACCCCCCTCTGCCAATCCCTCCACTGGCCTCCATTCAGTGTCCTCCACCTCTCTCTGCCAATCCCTCCACTGGCCTCCATTCAGTGTCCTCCACCCCTCTCTGCCAATCCCTCCACTGGCCTCCATTCAGTGTCCTCCACCCCTCTCTGCCAATCCCTTCACTGACCTCCATTCAGTGTCCTCCACCCCTCTCTGCCAATCCCTCCACTGGCCTCCATTCAGTGTCCTCCACCTCTCTCTGCCAATCCCTCCACTGGTCTCCATTCAGTGTCCTCCACCCCTCTCTGCCAATCCCTTCACTGACCTCCATTCAGTGTCCTCCACCCCTCTCTGCCAATCCCTTCACTGACCTCCATTCAGTGTCCTCCACCCTTCTCTGCCAATCCCTTCACTGACCTCCATTCAGTGTCCTCCACCTCTCTCTGCCAATCCCTCCACTGGCCTCCATTCAGTGTCCTCCACCTCTCTCTGCCAATCCCTCCACTGGCCTCCATTCAGTGTCCTCCACCCCTCTCTGCCAATCCCTTCACTGACCTCCATTCAGTGTCCTCCACCCCTCTCTGCCAATCCCTCCACTGGCCTCCATTCAGTGTCCTCCACCCCCCTCTGCCAATCCCTTCACTGACCTCCATTCAGTGTCCTCCACCCCTCTCTGCCAATCCCTCCACTGGCTTCCACTAACCCAACGTATAAAATTCAAAATACTAACCACAGCTTACAAAGCCATCCACAACACTG